ACAGCTGTAGAAGGAGAAGTTTTGTAACATAAAGGGGGGAGTAGTTAATCTTATATCCAGGAACAGAGGACACCTGGACTGTCAGGAGGAAAGAGGCATAAACCAAACATGGGACCCTAACCAGAGAAGCAGTGACATCAGAGATGGAGGCAGAGGTGATGGCATGGAGAGATAGAGCAGCTGAGGATTCCAAACTCATGGAAAGAGAAAGGCTGTGTGCTGGTAGCCAGGAGGCAGGCTTGCTGAGTGTTTTTGTGTATGTAAAAAGAAAAAAAAAAAGAGGGACTAGAAGCAAATACTGTTAAATGATGATGCATGGGGGGGATTGTAATTATTGCAATGAAACAAAATAAGATAGGAGAGTGCAAAGTCAATGGTCTCCCATACAAACTTATCATTCAACTCACAATAAAAGCTTAAAAAAAAACAAAAAAAAGGGCAGAAAAGTTGAAACATTATGTCCTTTTCATAGAGATTTGTTAATGAAAATATGTTGTCTTCTTAATGTAAGAGAATTGCAATAAAGACTTACTGATTTAAAAAAAAAGTAAAAACACTTTAAGAGACAAAGAAAAAGAAGGAAAGACTGTTTTATTTTCTGATTTTTAGAATCATTTTCAGAAAAAATAAAATGGCAAGAACACATACAAATATTGAAATTATTCATTGAACTAGATCCAATCTCAGCAGAGGAAGGGACTTTTTTTTTGAAGTATTCAAGTTCACTCCCTCTGAAAGCAGGAGTCCACTTCTAAATGTCCTTCAGGTATTTAACTAGCCTCCTTAATCATTTTCCAAGTTTGAATCACTTTATCTCATAAATATAACACAAACCGCTTTTAATTTTTTAACTGAAAAGAAAGAAGACAAACATGGGAAGGAGGTCTCTCATGGTAGATTACTTCTTAAAGAAAGTTCACATCCTTGAGGCAGCTTTGCAATATGCAGAGCACAGTACTGGCTTCAGAAAAATAAAAAGATTCTGTGCACATGCGCTATTGAAATTATGAAGAGCTGCTGTCAACTTCCTCTATAAAAATTAGCAAGCTATATTCATTCAAGTGCATTTATTGTACTTTTAGTTTTTTTATACTTGGGATGAATCTGAAACAGGATTAAGGAAAAAAAAAAATCCCAGCTAACACAGATTGGTTAAAACAACAACAAATAAAACATGAAAATAGTAATTACTGTGAGATAATTATCAAATGAAAACAAATCCTGCAAAACAAAACAAATATCTAATTACATAAATAAGTCCTATTATTTACTGGAATTTTTTACTCTTAAGAAGATCCTGATTTAAATAAAGAAATCCACAAAATTGGAACAGTAGGAAATGTGATTATTTGGTTCATCTCAGAAGGTCTACAGGTCCAGCTGCCAAGCACATCAGTCTCTGAGTTTTCAGCGAAGTGTGACCAGTTCCTCTGCAGAGGTGGGGTGAATGGCAACTGTGTTGTCAAAGTCGGCCTTAGTTGCTCCCATTTTTACTGCAACAGCAAAACCCTGCAGCATTTCATCACACCCAATTCCTTGCATATGGATCCCAACCACCTGAAAAAAAATTTGTTTTCAAAGTAAAATTTTGTATTCAATTCACAGTTATAAAAGGTACCCTGAAAGCCTTATCATGTTTCTAATATCAACACAAAATAACATGGCCTACAAGACCCTGGGTAGTCCCACCTACGTGTGGGGTCTCCAGCCCATTGCATTCAGCTCTCCCTCATCAGGCTTTCCTGGCTTTGTTTGGTTTCACAGACTTTCCTTCTGTCCCAAGCACTCCCCATACTTTGTCCTTTGCACAAATTGTTACCTCTCAGTAACAATACATAGTTAACAGTTACTCTTCAAATAGTTGTGCCTTCCTAGTTAAATTCTTCTACCATGTGACTTCTTAGTATAAAGACTTCCTGGTTCTATCACAGTTAATAACTTAAATATTTATTTGTGTGACTGAACAATACAGCCCACCTCTCCTGGCAGACTGTTCTCTCTAGAGAATGGGTCTCCTGACACTGTTTGCCCAACACTGTATCTCCATGGCCCAGCAAAGATTGGCACTTAGGAGGTCTCAATCCATACATTCTGGATGACTGTATGAATGACTGTCAAAAGATATTTGTTTCAAATTTCATTTTCCAGCGAGGTTGATCAATAAATCTTAACACTTAGTTAATGTTCACTTTCAGCAAACACAGTCAAGGTAAATATTCCACTGAAGAGCAAAATGAGAGGACAGTGTAGTTATAAAAATAATTTTTTTTTTTTAAGAAAACAAATCACCTTAGTCTTAATTTAAAACACACACAATAAACCTAAATCAAGTATGATATTATACATTAAACAAACCCAGGATTTTAGTTATTGTGATCTACATTGAACCAGGGTACATCCCAGTTTTTAGTCTTAAAGACTGTCAGGTAATGTTATTAAGTGAATGAATAACTGATATGAAGAACTAACTGATATGAAAGATAAACAGAGACCTTGTTGATTTAATATCTAGAAATCTTAGGCTGCTGAGAAACTTTCAGGACCAAGACACAGCAACCTTTGTTCTCCTGCTCTGCTTCTGCTTCTGTGATATTCAATTCTATTTGCAGTATAAGCTACATATGCAATTTTTGATAACAGAAGTTGGAAACTTCAATTCTGAAGCTTCAATTAAGCCACTGTCCCTCACCAAGCCATGATCCCAAGGCACACTGCTAAGTTCCACTTTAATATTTCATTCAATTTGTTGAAACAGTCCAATAGGTTGACCTAATACGAAAATATAAAAGAAAACCTGTTCAAATGCAAATCAAAACTATATTGAGATACCACTTTACAACTCCTAGGACAGCTATAATCAAAAAGACAATAAAAAAGTATAGGCAAGAATGTGGAGGCCCTAGGACTCTCACACACTGCTGGTGGGAATGGAGATTGGTGCAGTAATTTTGGAAAACAATCTGGCAGCTCCTCAAAAAGCTAAGACCAACACAGATCACTGATTACCTCAGAAAAAAATTAAATAAACTTCCTCTTCTTCACTGACTTGCTATTTATCTTACGTAAAATCCTCAGTGTTTCTGAGTTTCGTATCTATTCTGGCTTATTGGTCAATGATAGTGGGCTTCATGACACTGAGTTTTTTATGGGTTTCAATCTTTCCCCCTACATTTTTAAAGAAGTAGAACCTTCTTTCTAAATGAAATATTATGAAGAACAACAGACAAGAGTAGGATGGCACTAGTTGAATCAGAAGGCTTAGACAAGTTCTCCTCCTTTCCCACCACACTAAAATACCACTATTTCTGGCAAACACACAGAACACTAATTAGCATACTGGATTTTCTCCATACCTTTTCCTGTTTGTTGGCACACACCATTTTCATCACACATTTTGTTTTCCTTTTCGTAACTGCATGATACATTGGAGTAAAGGTAGTTGAATAGGTTTTCACATTTTCTTTTCCGTATTTATTAATGGCCTCATCTATATTGCAGATAAAAAAGTCTATCAAAAGTCTGAACAATTACACTAGGTTTTCAAAGAGATAAATGACAGGAAATACATAATCTGAATCAAATCATGAGGAAATGTCAACAACCAAACAAAAACCATGGACCTTCTACAAAATAAATGTCCATGCCATGAAACACAAGAAATGTTAATGTCAGAGGAGTACTGTCTCTAGATTAAGAAAGACTAAAAAGTTATAAAAACTAAATGCATTGCATTATCCTGAGTGGATACTAAAAAAATAAATAAAATCCACCACTGAGTCAATTCCAACTCACGGTGACCCAATGCGTTACAGAGTAGAACTGAGCTCCATACGGTTTTCTTAGTTACGGTCTTTATGGAAGCAGATCGTCAAGCCTTTCTTTTACATTGCTGCTACTGAGTGGATTTGAGATAGCAATCTTTCTGTAAGCAGCTAAGCACAAGCCATTTATGCTGCCTGGGGACCTACTGGGGCAAAAAAGCTTAAAACAACATTGTTGAGATCATTAGCAAAATCTGAACCAGACCCACAGTTTAGATTATATAGTATCAATTTAAATTTTCTCATTTTGGAAAGTATACTGTACTAATGTATGAGAATGTCCATTCTTGTTACTAGGAAATAAACACTGAAGAGTATGTATGTGGAGAGAGGAAGAATGACAAAGCAAAAATGTGACCAATTACAGGAGTTCTTTGTACTACTCTCACCTTCCGTGAGTCCCACTGTCCCAATAGGAGGGTGACTGAAGACCACAGTGGGGATATTGTCATAGTCTAACTTGGAATCTTGTTTGAATTCAAAAAGTCGATGGGCAAGTTTTCGGCCAGCAGCAATTGCAACTACAAAGATATTTAAAATTAATGTTTATCTTACTGTTGATTTTAACACAGCAAAATTGTTCTACTAGGCATTTATCTGTATACTAGTTCTGACATAGTCTTATGCTAATATTCATTATATATCTATTTCAATATAATGAAGACAGTTTAAAATTCAAAAATATTGTTTTATGTAAATTCTATACAATCTTAAAACATCAAGCAAAAAGAACACATTTACAACTCCTCTGCCACTTAGCAATTAATTTACTTATTAAAGATATCAAAACTTTGATATAATTTTTACGGAACAAGCTGTATTAATTCAGGCAGCATCATTCTGAAGTTGGAAACTTCAATTACAAAAAGCCAGATTTTAGTTATTGTGATCTAAGTTGAACTTATAACCATATTCATTTCACAGTGAGAATTATTTTTAACTTAAAAAAGTTTATTCTCCTTAGCCTGTTTTCTCTCTACCAATTTTTTTTAAATGACTTAAGTACAGCAAAATTTTGTTTTTGTATTTTATTGATTTTAAATGAACACTGTTTTATCAAAGTAAAACATCCGCAGATATTTTCAACTGCTATATAATGTGCTGAAGTTTTTGAAGCTTTGCTTGCATTTTGCTTTTGTTAAGATAAATTCCCAAAGAAGCTCAAAGTTCATAGTTTGGGCAGGTTTCCAATCTGAGCTAAGACCCATGGGCTACTTTGGGCAGGCTGGTGAAGGTCCATAAGAAACAAAATAAAAGCATATGAATGAGTGAAGTCAATAATGGACAGAGGTCGGACAAAGAGCCAGAAGTGGCACCAGTTTACTCAAGGAGCGTGACAGGGATGGAAGTGTGAAGTTCAATCTTGATTGTATCAAGACCAAATAATCATCACATAATAATGCTATTCTTAACTAATTTCTTCCCAAAGGCCACTTCCTTCCACCGTCCCCATATAACTGATTCTAACTTATATTGTTCGACAGAGGAGACCATATCCTCTCTATGAAAACCTCAGCATTTATAAGACATTAAAAACGTCTCTTAATGAAAAATGAACATTATTTATAAAATGTCAAATAGAGAACCAACACACATTTTAATGCATTTTTATCATTTTGATGACACAAAGGTACTCATAATTTAAACCTCGTATGAAGCTATTTGACTGGAGAATTGGACAGCTTTGCATAACACACAGGGCCTTTCTCTTTTCCTCAAAGAGGAAACATTACCTGGAGTAAGAAGAGCTTTTCCACACACATCCCCAACTGCGTAGATCCCTCTGACGCTGGTATTCTGGAATTCATCTACTATGATATGACCTTTGTCATCAGTCTGAATTCCCTAAAAAGATGAAGGGACATCATGTAAATAGTTGGTCCATCTACTAAAAATGTCAGACTAAGATTCAGAATCAACCGTACTTCACTTAGGCACCTCTTCAGTCAGAATCTCCAGGAAACCATAAGACTCAACCTCATGATGAAAAACAAAGTTGGCAAGTTTCAAACCTTTGCTTAATTCAAAAGGTATATATTTGATCCAATTTTGAGGTGCTTTAATAGGATTTGACTTTGCAATGTACAATTCAACTATCCAGGTAAAAATGAATAGGGACCATTGAAGTTACACAAGAAAGCACACAACTATGAGACATGCTACTTGCTATCTCTGTGTAGCCCATCTCAGACAGTGTTTCTCAACTTTTCCCAAGGAAGCACTTCTCCTCAGGTGGGGAAGGGGCACAGCCTGAAGCACTTAACTAAAGCAAACAATTTCTTTGAAGCTTACTATTTTAACTTTAAAAATCAAAACAAACTTCACATTCTACTCTAAAACATACTATTTCTTTTAACCAAAAAACTTTTCGAATAAATTATTTGGGTCAAATTTTTACTCAAAGATGTACTATGCTTATCTTGTAGGTTTGCAAATCCCAGGTGAATATCCTCTACTAGGAGGAGCGGCAACACAGTATAATTAGGACGGAGGTGAGGGCTCTCTTATGATACAATAGTAAATAATTGTTATCAGGACTGATTGTGAGGGTTGGAAATGTAAAGGTAGATGTTTTATAGCAAGAAGGGGAGTGATTAACTTTCCAGTCTAGGATCGGAGGTCCCTAGGACCGACCATCAAGGGAGAAGAGCAGAGAGTGGGACCCTACCCAGAGAAGCAGCAATGCCTGAGATGGAGACAGAGACGATGACGTGGAGTGATGCAGCAGCTGGGGACTTTAGATCCAGAGAGGGAGAGCGACTGTGTGCTGAAGACTGGGGGGTGGGGGGGTAGTGTAGGGGGCAGGCTTGCAGGGTATACCCTTTGGTTGGTTGATGATGCATGGAGGGGATTGTAACCATGGCAATGAGACGATAAACGATAGAATGAATGTAAAACTAATGTTCTCCCATGTAAACTATTACATAATTCACAATAAAATATTTAAGAAAAAAAAAAAAAAATTAGGACGGCAGTAACAGAGTGGTTAAGAGCCAGAATGACCTGGGTTCAAATCCTACTCTGCCACTCACTAGTCATGAGACCTATACAACCACCTACTTATCAACAAACAGTTGAACTTATATTACAAATAAAGTCTTGATGATACTGTAGGGTAAGCACTGGGCTGTTAACTGCATGGTAGATAGTTCAAAACCACCACCTACTGTGTGGGAGAAAGATGAGGTTGTCTGTGCCTATAAAAATTTGCAAGCTCAGAACCAGATGGTGGTTGATGGTTATGTGCCATGGAGTCAGTTCTGACTAATAGTGACCATGTACAGGGTTTCTGAAGGCTGTAAATCTTTATGGGAGCAGAAAGCCTCATCTTTCTCCCTGGAACAGCTGGTAGTTTCGAACTGCTGACCTTGAGGTTCGCAGCCCGATTTGTAACCATTATACTACCAGAGCTCCTTTAGGAACCATATACATGGTCACTATGAGCCAGAAATGATTCGTTGGCAGTGAGTTTAAGTTTGGTTTTATATTGCAAATGTAAGCTGCTGGTGGTGGTTATGAGCTACTGAGTCAGTTCTGACTCATAGCAACCCTGTATAGGGTTTCTCTGAGGCTGTAAATCTTTACAGGAGCAGAAAACCTCATTTTTTTCATGTGAAGTGATAGGTAGATTCAAAGTACTGACCTTGCAGTTAGCAGCCCAGTTCATAATCAACTACACTACCAGGGCTCCTTATAAATGCACCCTTTGTTGTTGTTAAGTGCTGTCAAGTCGATTCCGACCCATAGCGACCCTGTATAGGGTTTCCAAGGAGCAGCTGATGAGCTTGAACCACTGACTTTGCAGTTCAAACAACTTTGCAGTCTGACGCATTACACCCTTGTTGTTGTTTGGTGCCATCAAGTCCGTAAGACTCATAGTGACCTTATGCACAGCAGAACAAAAACTACTATTGCCACTCTTGAGTCCATCGATGCTGCCACTTGGCCAATCCATCTCGTCGGGGGTCTTCCTCTTTTTCCCTGACCCTCTCCACCTTACCAAACATGATATCTTTCTCCAGCAACTGGTCCCTCCTGACAATATGTCCAAAGTATGAGAGATGAAATTTGGCCATCTTGGCCTCTAAAGAGCACTCTGGCTGCACTTCTTCCAATACAGATCTATTGGTTCTTTTGGCAGCCCATGGCACTTTCAATATTCTCCTGAAATACCATAAATCAAAGGCATCAATTCTTCTACGGTCTTCCTTATTCACTGTCCAGCTTTTGCATGCATATGAGGTTATTGAAAACACCATGGCTTGGGT